TCTTTCCTAAGCTTCCTAGTGTCCCTGATTCCCCAACATAGAAGAATGCCACAGATGTTGCATAAAGAGGTGAAATGTAATTACCTAGCCTCACTTTAGAAGATAGGACAGTACAGTTGACTGGGTGCTTTGTCAAAATCCATCCACCTTATCTACTTTTACCCACAGCATTTTCTTCCACAGTTAAAAAAAAAATAATTTAAATTTCCTTACCCGTGTGTCTAGATTATATGCTGTCTTCTTTAAATCCTGCAGAGCCCTCTGCATGAACTCAAATGCATGACAATCAACACAGGGACGACCTAGGAGAGCGTTTAGTACAGATTCATGACTATATGGCATGAAGTATTAAGTAAAAGGAATAAACAGTGATTTTGAGGAAGAGTTATAGAATAGAGTCCACAGAGTGAGTACCAATATATGTACTCTTGAACACTCTAGGTTATTGTAAATGGTCCATGGTGATGGTCTGCCCAGTCTCTCAATGACAAAAGAATTACTTCAACAAACTTGCATTAAAAATTTTCTTCCTCCTTTATTGTTGCTCCCCTCATCCTCCTCTTGTCACAGTTCATAGTGTGGAAACACTAAACCCATAACTTGAGTCTTTCATTTTGCTCCACCAACCCTGAAAACATTTTCAACCTCATCATCAGATTTTTCTGATTTTCAGAAATTACCTCTGAAACCATTAACCTGTTCCCTGGAAAATCTTGTCTCCTAATCTCACAAATTTAAGCTCTAAACAGAAAGCTAATGGAATAAAATTTACTACAATATCACGAAGACAGAACACTCAGCCTCTAACTTTGAATATGATACAGCTTTGTCCAAAGCTAGCGAAGTAAGCAGCAGATAAACACAATGCCCTGTCATTAGTGGGCATTGCTGATAAGCAGTACTGCTGCGTTCTGGTCTAATTGCAGTGTTTAAGATAGTATTCTCATATCTAGATATCCAGACTGAAGGTCACAAGGCTTGCTTTGCCTTGATCATCATGTCACACAAAGCTGTGCCCTAACAGATAGCAGCACTGAGACAGAACAAATATAGACATGATGAAATGTCTTCGAATCATCAGACTCTACATATGCTCTTATTTGCTTGTCAGTGCCTGTGCCTCTCTGACAACTTCATAGGAAATATTGCACAAGTGTGAAATTCTGAGCACAGGTTTAGTTTGCTCTTTGAGGTCTAGTAAGAAAGAAAGGATGAAACCTAGAGTGATGGAAAATCCTGCAGTGTCTGTTAGTCTATTCTGCAAACACTTGATATTTGACTGATTACTACATGCCTCTGATAAACTGGAGTACGAGCTTCCACATATGACCTGTGTGCTAACCAGCAGACAGGAATCCTGCCTGCTAGAGAAAAGGAATCTGCCAAATTCTTTAACTGGCTAAGGAAAAAAAAAAAAGAGATAAAAAATAAACATAGAGCAGTATTAAAGACCTCCTCTCTCATTGTTTTACCACCACCCAACCTTAGTGTTATTATATTTGCACCAGACAAAAGGAGAGGACAGCATTTTCCACATCAACAACTTGATGCAAGGACCTGTCGTTATGTTTATGATGCAAAATAAACTCAACACAGTTCAGCAAACGAGAATTAGGTGGTTGAAGGCTGCAAGACTAGGTGTTGACAAAGTGTGCCTTCTTGGCATCTTCATTGTGAATTTTTTTAATAAAAGCTACTGACTTTAATACAGTAGACATTACCAAGAACAAAAGATGTAATGAACAATCAATGTTGGTTGAAAAAAGCAAGTCTCAATAATATCTCTGGAAAGCAAACAGGCTGATTCCTGGCATAGAAAGGGCTAACACAATGAAAGGACTGTACAAAACAAGAGGTGCGTAACAGTGGCAGATTTCAGGTACAAGCAAGACAGCAACAGGCAGGAGACAAGGGAGAGAGAGTGGAGAGCCTTGGCTGCAGGAGAAAAACAGCACTGGTATGCTATCAAGTTGTGGTTTTAAAACAACATAAGCAAGACACGTCCAAAATAGTTTGAATTATTTGGACAAGCTTCAGTGATGTGAAGTCCTGTAACATTAAAACTACAGTACAAGCTGTATGAGAAGACTGTAGGGTGGTACGTACTTTCAGCTGGTATGGCTGTTCCCGCTTCTTGATCAGATCTAACAGGCTCTGCGAGAAGCAGTGCAACTACAAAAACTAAAGGAACTGTAAGGACCGCTCCTCTCAGAAGGCAAGGTGCCAGCATCTTGGGAACCGGTGCTTCTCTGTTTATCAAGAGACATAAACAAGTTAGGAACATTACAGGTACAAGGGGTTTGTTACAAAGAACTTAATGTGCCTGATGGCTAAAGCATTGGCAGTCTTCCTTTGAAAGAAAAAAAAATCAGAAGATCTAGAACATGGACAAACATCCTCTGTACTTTCCCAGCAGTGCACATAAAACCCAACTGGGAGAGAACGTCCTTAGACATGAAGGAGATCAGAAGTCCATAGTCAGTTTTTAGTTTCATTTGCAAGCCAGGATGCCAGCAACTTTGCCTGCTCTGTGACTCCAATCTTTTTTCTAACTACACAGTTTCAGATTAGCAGATGAATCTGGACAGCTGGTTCAGTGTTAGACTTTGAGATCAAAACTGCAGGGATTATAGAACGGGCTGAAATAAACCTGAACCTAGAAATGAGGTTTTTACCCTCTGGCTTGCTTTGCTGATGCACCATCTTTTCACAAGTAAAATAACTAAAGGTAACCATTATCATTAACTACACACCACACTGATCATAAATATTTACTCCTTTATGAAAGCAGCTGAAGAAAAAGACTTTTGTTAAACCTCCACAAATTCATAGGCAGAACTTCTAATGATAAATGCATCAAGACTCTTTGACCTTCTGTTTCCCCTCCTAATCTGCTCTTCAGACCTTTATTTGCAGCCATCCATTTGTTCCTGAACATCACAGCCAGGCCACACCATGCCCTGAAGACAGGTACAGCCTGGTCCAGCAACAACTTCCTTTCACATAGAGGTAAAATTTTTTTATAAGTACACAGGTTTCAAATTAAGTATTTTCTTGATCCAGCAGGTAAACTCTTCAGATCAAGAGGGAACACAGGAAACTTGGATTGGCTGAAGCTGCAACTGTCTATTAGAGATTTCAATCCAAGCCTCAAGGATCCTGGCAAACTGCTAGGGTGGTCCTTAGTTCAGCCAAGTTTACTTTCCATTCCTGTATGTTCAAATGGATGAAAGAAAGAATCAAGTAAGGTTAAGTTGTAGCAACACAATAAAATCCACATGAAAAATCTCTTTAGCTAAACCCAGGAAAGCAGGACAATGTTCTGTTTCTTCCTGATGTTTAAGCTGGTGCATACTAAGTAAAAGATGTTGCATAAGGACATCAAATCTGCATGGACTGATTGCAAGAGTACAGCACTCCTCAAAACAGTTGTATTTCACATTTGGAAGAGCAATAGAGGGAGGCAGGAAAGGAAAGGTTTTTCCCAATCTTGCCACAAACATAGAACAGAACAAGCTTGCTCTTTGATATACGCAATCCACCGTTTCAGATACAGCTAATCTGAAGCTGCAAATTCTGCATGAACACTTGCAGCACATTCAAAACAGCAATTAATCCAGGAAAGGAGCAGCATTATACACATCCCCTTCCTGTGCACCCCAACCTAAACTAAGAGTAGGGGATGGTTCAGAAGCAAGAGACACACACGCACATGTAGAGTCACAGATATATTTGGGGCCACACCAAAAAAAAAAATCTGGTAATGTAATTCCTATAACCTCCGAATTGGGTGTCCTATCCCTCCCACTATTTAGAAGTGATCTGATGTGATCCTTTTTCTTATTTCTATAATCCTTAAAATAAAGGGATTAAAATCATAACAAGTGGCTTGGGTTTTCTGTTTTAATTAATGGTGATCTCCAATCAAAGCAAGCACAATCAAAGACACCAGGCTTTGCAACAGGATGCAGCAGAGTGTCTTCAAGTAACAATAAATTAGGATAATACCAGCCTCCTTTGAAAGTACCTAACGGAGAAGCCTCCTCGTCAGTAGGAGCAGAAGCTGTTCTCATAGTTGACTATGACTGCTACAAAGGTTCAACAAAACAAAGCAGATATGCTGTTAAACTTTTTCAGGGTACCTTACACATCACCCACCCCGGCGTCAGCACAACTTTGTATGTGAGCCTCACTGCAAAACAATTGCTCCCCGAGTGCAGCAATCACCTTAGATCACATCTGACTACTGCTTCTTAGTTATTCCATGGGAATTTGCTATCTGCGAGGAATAATCATGACAGGGCTTCAAGGGTGGTCTCTCTCTGCAGTGCAACCGGGAACGGAGACAGATCTGTGCATGGACTTCTGTGAAAGAGAAAAGTCACCCCCTCTAATAAAGAAAAAAAAATATCAGTACCTGATCTCTCTCTTGTCTTTGTGATGGTGTCTTTGAAATGGCCGCTGCAAACTGCTAACAGAACAAGTGCAGCATTTCTGAGCATGTGCACTGTCTCTTTTTAACCTTCTCTGAAAGAGGTTATTACTATGGGGAGATTTCTGCCATGGCAACAATGCAGAGCACTGCAGCACACAGCACAGATTTAAAGAGGAACAGGCTGTGTCTCCCAGGTCCGAGGAAGGATGTTTCTGCTTTGACATGTGAGTTCCAGCAGTGACTTACCTGCTCCGGGCAAGGTTTTTAAAGCCAGGTCATTTGATTCATCTCTCTTGAAGTCTGCTGAATGGTTTTCCTGAAGTCTATGTGGTGCCTGATTCAAGCAACTTGCTTCCCTTGTGCCTGAAAATAACCATGACAAATTACACCTGCTTTACGGGAAACCAGGAAAAATCATCGGATCACACCCAGGAACTGCAGGACACGTCGCAGGTGAGACTTTGGTGAAGACCAGGAATTGTTCAGTGCATAGTCTGCCATTTGAATGGTTCGGAGTTACAGGGGTAATAACCACTCATGCCTGCTTTCCTGGGCATTTCTGTGATCCCAGTCTCAGGGCTGCCAGGAACACTCGCAGGAGTGCAGGCACTTAAACTCTGAGTGGGAACTTGAGTCCAAACTCAGAATAAACTTCACCTCCCTTTTCCAGCCTGCACCTCTGTCCCCTTTTCAACACCCCACGAGCTATATTCCAGAACAACGCTGACAGTGCTTGTGTTGAAGAATGCAATATAATAATGGAACACAGATTATAAAAGTGCTTTTGTCAAAGCAACGCTAAGTTCAGGGGTGGCATCATCCCTCCAAAACACATTTCCCATCACAAATTAGCCACTAGCAGTTTTTGTTCCAGAGAGAATGAGCACAGCTGAGGGCAGGCACAGCACTGAGAATCATGCACGGAACTTCAAAGGGACCGTGCTCTGTGTTTGCTTTAGCCGTTCAATAAGAACTTAATCTTCAATGCTTTCATGGTGAAAGTTAGGGGCACTTGGTGTCCAGGAAAGTCAGGCACACAATCTTTGGGGTTTTTTTCATGAGCAGAAACTCCTTCTCAGTATTATGACTAAATTGCTGGCCAACATTTTTCTTTTCGACATGCTCTATAACCTGTCTCTCCTGTACAGCCGTAGGGGAATGGTTTGCTCCCACTAATTCAACTTTTTAAGTAAGACAATAAAATTTCAGGTTGTTCAGTATGCAACTATGCTGCTATATAAAGTTACAGCATCCACAAGCAGAGTCAAGAGGTGATTAATTATAGTACTGCCATCCTTACACATTACAAAAACAAAAAGAAGGGGGAAATAATTTTTAGAGACTGTTCTTTTGGGCAAACAAGATTTAGCATTGTTCTTGCAGAGGTAACCATACAGGATTTGGTCTGATTAAGTATCTGTCTACACTCAAATTACAAATGTAGAACTTTATTCATGATCATTCTCACATCTCATCTCACACCTTGGCCTCTCTTCTTGATAAACAACATAGATATTCACATATATACACACACACATATCTATCTATCTATGTCTTTTCTTAACCTGTGCTCTTGATCATTCCCAGTAAATCTTACCCTGTTCTCCCAAATCCTGTCCTTTCCCTATCACAACAGTAACACCAAGCAGCCAGCCCCGGTACCTTGGGTGTTATCACTGATTCATTCTTCCAGACCCATGCAATGGGCTTCTGACTCCATTAAATGCAATTTAAAAAATCTGTTTCGGCCATTCTCAGCTGCCAAATTCTTTGCTCTAAGCATCTCATAGCAGCTACTGGGACGTCCCTTCTTTAGCTTTGTCCTAAATCTGTTTGTTCTGCAAGCAACAACTTCCTTTTTAGCACTTTAACCACATTTCCTCTTTATTCACTTCTCCCCACTCTGTACTGTATAAAGCTAGTATTTTCTCAGCTGGAAAATATCAGTTCACCAAGGAGATCTTCCACAGAGAAGGCAGAAACCCTGTTTTAGGATATTTTTATTTGAAAAATGTTTTGTAAAAAATTATTTTGACAATTTTCAAATTGATAATTTCTGGCTTTCTGCTTCAAAATTACCTCCTTTTTAAACTAATCTTAACAGAGTAAAAATACATTTCATGCTTAGTTCATGGAATTGCAGAGTGGGAGCAGCTCTTATGTTAAGGGTATTGGGACACATCCCCACCAGAACATTACAACCCCAATAAATTCTTTCCTTCTCTCATTTCCCTCATGCAGCAAGCATGGGTGGTACAGATGCTACCCCAAGGGCACCCCAAAACTGAAAGTGCAGACCAGAACTGGGACTATACAGCACCAGCACAACAGCTCCCAGTGGCGATTTCACTGGTGTGCCCAAAGTTGCGGTGGCGCTCGGGCTGAGCGTGAAGTGACATTGGAGTGAAAGCTGGAACGTCCTGACTCCCCAGCTGCCCTGGGGGATCATTCATGAGGTAAGCAGAAAGAATTTATAGTTTCTTTGTGTAATGAAGTCAAACACAATGGATCTTTTTTCAAGAGCCCCACCAGCTAAAAAGCATCAAAGCACTGTTTCTGAGATTTCAATTTTTCATCTTGATAGCACATGTTTTGATACTATAAATATTTCTGTGGGATTGGGAGAAAAGCTCAAGCCTTTACCTCTAAGCCTTTTCACTGCTTGGTCTCTCCTTGGCTCTTAAATCTAATATTCTGTCACAGCAGAAAAGTTTCTTCTCTCACTAAAGATAACAGATGCTGTCACTTCTCCTGCAGACACTTTTACGCTTTCTCACAGCCTGCCCTCTAAATCATGGTAAAAATCTCCCCACAAGGTACCATCTTGTCTTCCATCAAATCCGCTTTTAAGCTTTACCTCTGCCACGAATCCTACAAAGCGCTGCTGCCTGGCAGAGCCTGGGGAGGAAGCTGGCTGTGACTGCTGATGGTATGCAAATGTGTTTGTTATACCAATATCTCACTGCCTCACACCTCTCGCTGAGTCCCCCCCCTTGTCATCCCACCATAATCCTGAGCTGTGATAGCTCGAGGGCAGGGGCTGTGTTTGCACTTGTTGGCGCAGCACTACAAGGCTGGAGTGTTGATTGAGGCCTTCAGGCATATGTGATGAATAATAACGTCAAGCTACCTAAAGCTGATCGCATTGTCCCACGCTCTGATATATGAGCTATTCATAGAGCAAGCCTCTTATTATTCTTTTCCTTCCAATTTAAAGCTCTTGCGACGTCTCAGAGTGACCAGATTAAGAAATGAAGCCTTCCTTTGTTCCCTGAACAGGTCTCACGTATCTTGGTAGCGGCAATTAATTGCAATTGTTCCTCCTTCCATTTTCTCCACCGGTAATTTTAGGAATAATTTCCTTGTCAGTAACTCCGATTCCTGCAGTCCCTAACTGTCAGAGTATAGCTCATCTGAAATCATCCTAGGCCCCAAAAGTCTTGAGTTTCAGTGCAACACTAAGGCTGGGCTCATGTCCAAGTCTGACTTTTCCATACAGCTCTTAGGGAGACCTGCACTGTCAGAACTACTTACCGCTTTTTGGATGAGATGCTAAACTGAGGTCAAATCTTTCAGCATGTCTCTGGGAATTGAAAAGCATTTAAAAATCCCATGGCAATATTTAGGAAGGGTTAGTGTTAGCTGAGCTATCCTTGGCTTGCACTGTCCCTATCCACCCTCCTGCACGCATATCTTTGGGGAAATAAGCTGTGTTCCAAGCTCTGCTTGAGCTATTTCTAGGTACATTAATAGTTGCAACTTTTAACTATCTTGCTAAGTCCACAGGGATGTCTTGAGTGCTTTACAGCAACTACACAAATATGCACGCATATGAATGGGTTTTGAAGTGGAGGGGAACAAACTGCTACCTTTCCAAGCTTCCCGTTCTAGACACAGACTTCAGAGTTCAGAGGTCTCTTCTGACATGGATGGCCTAGAAAGGTAAAGAGAAGATCTCCTAGCTGAGAAGCAGTGCACCATTAGCCAGTTTCCTTGCAAAGGCTGCCTTGAAAAATAGCACCTGAGGAAACTAAAGGAAATGAGATTGCTAAAACTTGAAACTTATCAATGACCCTTTTTTCCCAAAAAGGTTTATTATCCAAAGTCTGCATAAGGACTCTCAAACTTCAGAATCCAGAAGACCCACAGTCAGGGGGCTCCAGATCCATTGCCTGCTCTAGGAATCAACTCCTTCACAGCTAGGAGGCTGGTCCAGGACGACTTTTATGACACCAATACTTGGATCACATTGATAATAATTCTGACATTAAGTTCTCTATGATTTAATGACTTAAAATGGATGTAACTTCATACATTTATGTTTGGAAACAGCATCTTTAACATGAGTTCATGTTGACAAATATGACTTCTCCTTTTTACAAGTTTTTTCTCCTTTCTACAATTACAGTGCTATAAAGTGCAAGCTGGTTAACGCAGTTAACTATCCTAAAGTTGCACTAACTATGACTGTACAGTTTCCAGCTGAGAGCTTACTCATGTCTGCCTTCAAAATGTCTTGTGAATGAATTCCTCATTTGTGATCCAGGAATGTTTTTAGACAGTGGCCAGTGACAAATAAGCAATTAATATTCCTTAAGTATCATTATAGTGGTCACAATCTTGGCTGAGATGCTGGAAAACAGATCAGAACCACCACTGCTAAAAGCATGGCTAGTTACAGCATAAGTGACTGAGTCAAGAATCAGAGATCAGAGCTGAGACAGATTCCCATCCTCACGTGGTTTAGAACTTGATGTAGGCAGGGATCAAGTTCTAACACACAGTCCTTAACAGATCACACTCCCCAAGTCCTCAAGCCCACCTGGCTATCGTTCTAGAAGGAAGACACAGTGACCACCAGGGCAGAATGGGTTATTTGTTCCTTGGAGAACTTTTTCTAACGGCTGGCAAAAAAAGTGCAGATCTACGACCCTCAAACCAACAGATCAGGTTCTTTTTCTGAAGGAAAAATTATGAAGAATCCTATGTTAGTCTTCTTGACTAATATTCTTATTTACTAAGTTACAGTTAGTAGTAGCAACTACTGTAAACCTG